TATGTGACCTCATTCACAAAATACAAAGGCTCATCTGAATGGGCAGCAGAGGGGAAGGGCTGGTAGAGCTGCTGTGTCTGAGAAGAGCCGGTCCTAGCAGTGCTCTGGGATTTTAGCTATAGCTGTGCTCCCAGAGCAACTTTAAAACTGGCAGGTGTAAATTAAATAAATAAGTCCACAAGGTGGAATACCCCTCTTTGGGCATAACTCATAGTATGCCAGCATATTTTACAGACTGTCTGAATTCCTGGAGTTCAGATGTAAGTGTATCTAAAGCCAAAACTTTTTACCTGGCAACACTCAATCTCTCTTTCCACAGATGTTCAATAGGGTTCAAGTCAGGGCTCTGGCTGTACCACTCTAGGACATTCACAGAATTTTCCCTAAGTTACTTCTGTGTTGTCTTGGCTGTGTTCTTAGGATGGTTGTCATGTTGGAACAGGTTTTCATTTAGGATAGCTCTGTCCTTTGCTCCATTCAGCTTTCCCTCAACCCTGACCAGTCTTCCAATTCCTGTTGCTGAAAAACACCCCCACAGCATGATGCTACCACCACCATGCTTCACTGTTGGGATGTATTGGGCAGTTGATGAGCAGTGCCTGGTTTCCTCCAGACATAACATTTAGAATTGAGGCCAAACAGTTCAATCTTGGTTTCATCAGACCAGATAATCTTGTTCCTCACATTATGAGATTCCTTCAGGTGCTTTTTTGCAAACACCAAGCAGGTTTTCATGTGTTTTGCACTGAAAAGAGGCTTCGGTCTAGCCACTCTGCCATAAAGTCCAGAGCAGTGGAGGGCTGCAGTGATGGTTGTCCTTCTGGAACTTTGCCCATCTCCACACTGGATCTCTGGAACATGGTCAGATTGACCACTGGGTTCTTGGTCACCTCTCCTACTAAGACCCTTCTCCTCAATTGCTCAGTTTGGCTGGGCGACTAGCTCTTGGAAAAGTCCTGGCTGTGTGTACCAAATTTCTCCCATTTAAGAATTATGGAAGCCACTGTGCTCTTTGGATCCTTCAGTGCAGCAAAATTATTTTTGTTGCTTTCCCCAGATCTGTCTTGCAATAATCCTGTCTCTGAGTTCTGCAGGCAGTTCCTTTTGACCTCATGGCTTTTGCTCTGATATAGTATGTACTGTCAGCTGTGAGGCCTTTTATACAGAGGCGTGCACCTTTCCAAATCCTATCCAATCAGTTCAATTTACCACAGATGGACTCCAATCAAAGTGTAGAAACATCTCACCAACGATCTAGAGAAATGGGAGCCACCTGAGCTAAATTTCAAGTGGTGTTGAGAAGGGTCTGAATACTTATGCCAATGTGATATTTCAGTTTTTTCTTTTTAATAAATTCACAGGCATTTCTAAAATTCTGCCTTCACTTTGTCATTATGAGGTACAGAATATGGATTCATGAGAAAAACAAATATGTATTTGAACAAGTTTAGATGGAATCTGAATATGTAATGTGTATATGCTATATTGCCAAAAGTATTGGGCCACCTGCCTTTGCACACACGTGAACTGTAATGGCATCCCAGTCTTAGTCCGTAGGGTTCAATATTGAGTTGGCCCCGCCCTTTGCAGCTACAACAGCTTAAATTCTTCTGGGAAGGCCGTCCACAAGGTTTAGGAGGGTGTCTATGGGAAGGTTTGACCATTCTTCCAGAAGCACATTTGTGAGGTCAGGAACTGATGTCGGGGGAGGAGGCCTGGCTCACAGTCTCTGCTCTAATTCATCCCAAAGGTGTTCTATGGGGTTGAGGTCAGGACTCTGTGCAGACCAGTCAAGTTCCTCCACCCCAAACTGGCTCATCCGTGTCTTTATGGATCTTGCTTTGTGCTCTGGTGCGCAGTCATGTTGGGAACAGGAAGGGGCCATCCCCAAACTGTTCTCACAAAGTTGGGAGCATGAAATTGTCCAAAATGTCTTGGTATGCTGACACCTTAAGAGTTCACTTCACTGGAACTAGGGGTCAAGCCCAACCCTTGAAAAAAAACCTCACACCATAATCCCCCCTCCACCAAACTTTACACTTGGCACAATGCAGTCAGGCAAGTACAGTTCTCCTGGCAACAACCAAACCCAGACACGTCCATCGGATTTCCAGAGAAGCATGATTGGTCACTCCAGGGAACACATCTCTACTGCTCTAGAGTCCAGTGGTGGCGCACTTTACACCACTGCTTCTTCTGACGTTGTGCATTGCACCTGGTGATATCAGGCTTGGATGCAGCTGCTCGGCCATGGAAACCCATTCTATGAAGCTCTCTACGCACTGTTGTTGTGCTAATCTGAAGGCCACACCATGTTTAGAGGTCTTTTAACTATTGACTCTGCAGACAGTTGGTGACTTCTGCGCACAAAGCATGCACTGACCCCCGCTCTGTCATTTTACGTGGCCTACCACTCGAGTTGCTGTTGTTCCCAGTTGCTTCCACTTTGTTATAATCCCAGTTGAGCGTTGAAATATTTAGTAGCCAGGAAATGTCACGGATGGACTTATTGCACAGGTGGCAACTTATCATGGGACCACGCTTGGAGTCACTGAGCTCCTGAGAGAGACCCATTCTTTCACCAATGTTTGTAGAAGCAGTCTGCATGCCTAGGTGATGATTTTATACACCTGTGTCCATGGAGGTGATTGGAACACCTGAATCCAATGATTTGGAGGGGGGCCCAATCCCAATACTTTTGGCAATATAGTGTGTGTGGTGTGTATTCATATTTTTTCAAATAAAAAGGACTCCCCATCCATTCCAGTTTCCCTTTTAAAACTACTTTCACAGAAAACAAGAAGTTATTCTGTGTGCACACCTCTAACTAGTTCCTCCATGGAGAGATTGCTCTGTAAAATGATTACAATACTTGTGGTATGAACATGCGTAACTGAACTCTGTTGTTTGCCAATAAACTGATAACATTGTGGGTATGGGGAAGTATTGAATACTGTAATGTTTTATTCATTCTTATTTTATTATCTCATTAAATAATAGTGTGCTCTCTATACCTGAACTTCCTCATGCCTCAATTTCATCAATGCATACAATATATACAAAAGAGACATAAAATACATTGAGGGCCCATTCACACTAGAATGCTGTGCTGGAAACCCATATTCTGTGCAAGTTTCCCACACCGCATTCAGAACCCACTGCCCAGCTTTTGAAATATTAACATGTTAAATTTTTTATGTAATTATAGTGCTTGGTTAGAGAATGTTTTGAAGGCCTTCCAAGTATGGGGCGAAAAAAAAAAAATGTAGTTGTGCCCACGTTTAAAGCAGAATTCTGGGCCAAAACTTCTTTACATGTCCTAGTTGCTTATTTCCTACCTTCACTGAATATGTCATCAGTCTTCTGGTTCACTCAGTAGTTGCTCTGAAATAGCCTATTCATTTTCAAATCAATGAATTCTCTTTGGTTTCCTGTTTGTAAGACTGGTGGCTGCTATGCCTCCTATTCCCCCAGTCACTGGTCTTGGCACGTCCCTTCTGTAGTTCTTGCTTCAGGAAGCAGTGATGTCATTCAGCCCCATTTGCAGTGAGTGGGGGATGGACAGAGACTCTCAGACACATTCAACATGTACAGGCTTAGTGTACCAACCCACTATCACTACAATTCCCTGCAGTTGATGGGAACTGTAGTTTCCTTTTACTGTAGAGAGAGAGGAGAGGATATGATGTCATCCCAGCTGTTACACTTCCTTCTTGGCACAGCAGTTCCTGTTTGTAAGACCGGCGGCTGCTATGCTTCTATTCCCCCAGCCACTGGTCTTGGCACATCCCTTCTGTAGTTCTTTCTCCGGGAAGCAGTGATGTCATTCAGCCCACTTGCAGTGGTGGGGGGACCGAGAATCTCAGGCACATTCAACATGTACAGGCTTAGTGTACCCACCCACTATCACTACAATTCCCTGCGGTTGATGGGAACTGTAGTTTCCTTTTACTGTAGAGAGAGAGAGGAGAGGATATGATGTCATCCCGGCTGTTACACCTCCTTCTTGGCACAGCAGTTCCTGTTTGTAAGACCGGCGGCTGCTATGCCTTTTATTCCCCCAGCCACTGGTCTTGGCACATCCCTTCTGTAGTTCTTTCTCTCGGGAAGCAGTGATGTCATTCAGCCCCACTTGCAGTGGTGGGGGGACCAAGACTCTCAGGCACATTCAACATATACAGGCCTAGTGTACCCACCCACTATCACTACAATTCCCTGCGATTGATGGGACTGTAGTTTCCTTTTACTGTAGAGAGAGAGGAGAGGATATGATGTCATCCCGGCTGTTATACCTCCCTCTTGGCACAGCAGTTGCTGTTATCTTTTGAATTACAGATTAGGTCAGGAAAATTAAATTCGACTTTTCTCCTAAACTGTAAGTTTTTTTCAAAAACGTAATAACTGGTTATTGTTTTTTGTAGGGGGTGTACTTATGGGTGTTTTTTTTGCCTATCCAAGAGTTCTTCTTTTAAAAGTATTCACTGGCAACACATGCCAAGGTACAAAAATGAGAATAGTGTTGTCACATGGGGGCACGGACCCGTGTATTAGAGCTTACACAGGGCAAGGACTGGAAATGTGTTGCTGTCAGGATAAACAGGTGAAAATAAAGGAAAAAAATCCTGAAAAAAAGAAAACTAATGCAGCCATCACATCAAAACTAGTAATTTTAAATATGTATTCAATTTTGTTGTTGGCTTTAGATTTGCTTTAAACCTCAATATACCCTTCTCCCCAGAAAACAGATTTATTTCACACACATTTCCATCACATAATAAAGAAATAAGTGGTCTCTAATTGTTCGATTTACCATCATATATTACTGACATTTTTGAAAATTATTCCAATGTGGGCAATTATGCTGTATATATTCTAAAAAAAATTGTTTTCTCCACAGATTTTTTTGGCTTTGTCCTTACCCCTGCTGCCTTATCCCGCCACCCTCGGCAGAACCAACTACTTCTGTGGTTTTTTTTTTTTTTTTGTTTACCGTTGCCTGCATGACCGGGAGTCAGACGCTTCTGCCGTACTTTGCGGTGCAGCTCAACAAGATGGGCTCGTTCCGGCGCCCGAGGCCGCGGTTCATGAGCTCCCCGGCTCTCAGCGACCTACCGCGGTTCTACGCCGGCCGCCAGGTCCTGCAGCTCAACTCCAGCGTCCTGTGGAACAGGTACAGTATTTCAGACATGCAGGGCTTCTTTTCAGCGGGAACGTGGGCCATCGCAGTTCCGGCACCTCCAGCACTGAATGTATATAATGGCGAGGGGTGCTGGGGTGTGCTGGAGGGTCTATTGATGCTAGTTGCTGGGGGATCTATTGTTGCTGAGGGGTCTTGGGTTGCTGGGGGGATCTATTGTTGCTGGCTGCTAGAGGTACTATTGAAGCTGGTGCGATATTTTGTTGTAGGGGTCTACTGTAGTGTTGCTGGGGGATCTATTGTTGCTGGGAGGGCCTATAATTTTGTTATTAATGTAAATATTATTTTACTTTTTTTTTTTTTTTATTAAAATCCATACAAATCACTTGGCACCAAAAATGATACTTGGTTCTGACTTCTCTGAAATGGGCGGTACTGGTAGGTGGGAAAACGTCGCTAAACGCTAATGCAAAAAACGCTAAAAACAGCTGAAAAACTCGACTTTACACAGCTAACGTTACCAGCGTTATTAGATGTCCCGTGTGCATGAGGGATTAGAATGACGATTAATTGAATGTGATTGGTCCCTGTTGATCATGTGACCTTGGTGAACATTTAGCTGCACACCTTTTTAAATTATAGTGTCTGTTAGTATTGGAAAAACCTTTAACATACACAAGTCAATTTAAAAAAAAAAAAAAAAAAAAAAAGTAAGTAACATTAAAAAAAATATACTCTTTGATTGAATTTTGGAAACAGCAAAAATCAAGAATTTTACAGGAAAAAAAAATTTGCTGAAACCACTACATGATCATCTTAGCGGAACATATTCCTATCAATGTGTTAGTCCATGTAAATCCTACCTGAATGGCATTTAAAGTGTTGCTAAACCCACTACAGTACAATCAGTCTGTATATGTAGTAAAGCATGCTTGTTATACTCACTGTGGAACCTAAGGGGTTAATCCTCCGCATTGTGCAAAAAGGCTGTTTGATCCTGATTGCTCTGATCCTCCCCTTGTTCAAGTGACCACCACTTATCTCCTGATAAGCCAGACAGAAACGTAGGCATTTTGCACATGCTCAGTTTGGTTCGGTTTGTATTGCTAGAGAGTTTTTTTTTTTCTTCTTGGAAGAGTGCATGTGATCAGCACAGGGCCAATCAGCATTGTCCAGACAGAGGTCAGGGGTTTTGCATCCTCCTAGAGCAGAAAGAAAACTCCTACAAGCTTTAACCACTTCTTGGCTAACACTGATAGAAGTCACAAGACTTCTATATACTGCTGATGAGCAAAGGTATTTACCAGCTTATATTTACTAAAATAATTGCAATTCCGTGTTCTGTGTACTGTGGGAGACCAGATATAGTGAATGCAGGACCTGTGAGACCAGATATAGTGAGGGTGCAGGGTCCGGGGCAGACCAATATAGTGAATGCAGGGTCCGGAGAGACCAGATATAGAAAATACAGGGTCCAGGGAGACCAGATATAGTGAATGCGGGGTCCGGGGAGACCAATATAGTGAATGCAGGGTCCGGGGAGACCAGATATAGAGAATGCAGGGTCCGGGGAGACCAGATATAGTGAATGCGGGGTCCGGGGAGACCGGATATAGTGAATGCAGGGTCCGTCCGGGGGTCCGATCAGATATAGTGAATGCAGGGGAGACCAGATAGGTGAATGCAGGGTCCAGATATAGTGAATGCAGGGTCCGGGGAGACCAGATGGGGGTCCGACCGGATATAGTGAATGCAGGGTCTGGGGTAACACTTTAGTTTAGTTCCACTTTAACCACTTGACCACGCTATAGCCGAATGAAGTCTACAGCATGGTCGTTCAGTTCTTGGAGGGCATCATTATGTCCTCCCAGAACCGCGCCCCCAGTTGGCGCACACCTGGCGCTCTCTCTTTGATGTCCTGTGTCCTTTGAACACAGCAGATCACATGACATGGTAAAGGGCCAATCACAGCGGCCTTTTACCATGTGATCAGCTGGGTCCGATTACAGCTGATCACTGTGTAAACACACTTGCTGGTTTTTTTTCGGCAGTATTTTCCTCACGCTGTCCCAGCCTGAAGAAAGTACTGCTGATAACTGGCAAGTGTGAAAGGAAAACCTCTACACAGATAATCAAGGCACTGATTATCAGCGCCGCCTTAAAAGTGCCAATCTGTGCCCGTCAGTGCTGCCAATCTGTGCCTATCAGTGCTCCCAGTCAGTATCACCCCCGTCAACTGCCAGTCAGTACCACCTATCAGTGCCCATCAGTGCTGCCAATCTCTGCCTGTCAGTGCTGCCAATCTGTGCCACCCAGTGCTGCCAATCTCTGCCTGTCAGTGCTGCCAGTCAGTACCACCCATAAGCTGCCAGTCAGTACTGCCTATCAGTGCCTGTCAGTGCTACCAATCTGTGCCCATCAGTGCTGCCAATCTCTGCCTGCCAGTCAGTGCCACCTATCAGAGCCCATCAGTGCCGCATATTATTATTATTATTATACAGTAATTTATATAGCGCCAATGGTTTGCTCAGTGCTGTACATTATAAATCAGTGCAGCCTCATCAATGTCCACCAGTGCTACCCATCAGTGCTGCCTCATCAGTGCTGTCTATCAGTGCTACATATAGTGCAGCATCATCCCACCAGTGCCACCTCATCATTTCCCACCAGTGCCACCTCATCAGTGCAGCCTATCAGTGCCACCTCATCAGTGCCCATCAGTGCAGCCTTATCAATGCACATAAGTGAAAGAGAAAAATTACCTGTTTGCAAAATGTTATAATAGAAACAAAAATAAATGTGGGGCTTTTTTTCAACATTTTTAGTCTTTTTTTTTTTTTTTTTTCCGTTTAGCAAAAAATAAAACCAAAGTGGTGATTAAATACCCCCAGAAGAAAGCTCTATTTGTGTGAAAAAAAATAACAATTTCATATGGGTTCAGTGTTGCATGACCGCGCAATTGTCATTGTGAGAGCTGAAAATTGGCCTGGGCAGGAAGGGGGTGAAAGTGCCCGATAGGCAAGTGGTTAAGCAAGAGGATCAGCATGGCAGCCAGGCATGTAGCATTTTCAAAAGTGCAGCTTTTCCTTCTTCTTTGTTGCCGTTTCCCTATAAATGAATTGCATCTGTTACAGTGCGCTGACACTCTTCTCCTTCTATGTTGTCTGTATTGCTGTGCTGTTGGGGGACAGATGTGACATTCTCAATTACTGGTGGTTTCCTTTCTCAGTGTGCAGAACGCCGTCATCAACGTGTTCAAAGGAGGGGGCCTGCAAGCCAACGAGCTCTACACCCTCAACGAGAACGTCAGGTACGCCATGGTGGGGAGCAGCTGCCGCTTCACACTCACATGTCAGGCTTTGTTCTCACACATGTGTGGCTCTCACTTCCCTGCTACTGCTCATTCAGGGACCCATAAGGGCCACGCCTTGGTCACATGACTGACGGAAAATCAGAATGCAATAGGGGGGGGAGCTCAATGGAAAGTTACAGGGGATGGAATAAGCCAGAACCGTGTGAAACTCAGATGATCAGATGTTACATTATTGACATTAAAGCAGAACTCCGGGATCATTGTCTACATACAGTTGCAAGAAAAAGTATGTGAACCCCTTGGGATTACGTGGAGTGAATGTTTACATATTATGTGCAATTAAACCATGGCAACATCTAATGTTTGTGTAGTATTATGTTCAGCAGACTGTGTTCTTCTATTGTTGTGACTTAGATGACATTCAGAGCACATTTTATGCCCAATTCATGCAAAACTCCACGTAATCCCAAGGGGTTCACATACTTTTTCTTGCAACTGTACATTCATCATGTGTATTCCTCCCTGAATCTCGGTGTGCTTTGTGTATTTCTTCCAGATCTGTACAGTAATCTAGTGTTAGACTTTGCCTCTGTAATAAAGACCGCTCACTTCTGCTCTCTCTCCTTGTGCAGGGTGACTGGTCTGGTCTCCACCCCCTCCTGTAGTTTTCTTCAGGCAGCCTGTAGTGGGTGGGGTTTGTTGAGCCCCTCCCACAGCTCTGCTCTCTGCACAGGCTATGTACAGCACCACGATGATGTCAATGCTACTTTTCCAAAGTAATATCTGGGTTTGCAAATGCATTTGGTGCGCACAAAGTGGACTTATATCGTTTTGTGACTATGAAGGAACATATATAAGCGAACGTTTTTGTACCTGAAGATCAGCTTTAACCACTTCCCTACCACCCTAAAGTAGAACTACTGCTACAGGGCGGCAGGGCTGCGCACAATCACGTGTGTATATACGTGATTTTGTATTTCCAGGTAGGGGGCAGGTGCTCTGCCCTATCTGTGCCGCCATTAGCAGCTACAGCTGTCAATCACCGGGTCCCAGCCAGAGATTCCCCACCGGCACCCGGCGATCGCTGAGGAACACTGACAGGGGAGAGGTCTGTATGTAAACAATACATGTCCTCTTCCCTGTCAGCTCCCGCATGCTGCTTTGTATTGCTCTGCATAGTAGAGCAATACAAAGCAGCGTGCTTACATAGTACAGTAAAACAGCACACAGTTAACCCTTTGATCGTCCCAGTGTCATTAGTACAGTGTCAGTGCACTGATCACTGTATTGGTGTCACTGGGGATGTCAATGACACCAAGTCAGTTCCCCCCCAGTGTCAGAATGCCAGCCACAGTCCCACTATAAGTCACTGATCACCGCCATTACTAGTTTAAAACATTTTTTTTTTAAATCCAGTATCTATACCACCATTTGTAGACGCTATAACGTTCACATAAACCACATATACACGTATTGGGATTTTTTTTTTACATTTTTAATAGCAAAAAGTAAAAAACATTTGTTGCTATTTTTTTGTTTACAGCAGAAAAAAATAAAAATCGCACATGCAATCAAATTAATTAGCCAAATAAAAACCCAAATAATTTACACGTATTGGGTTTTTTTTTTTTTAGCAAAGACATGTCGCAGAATACATTTTGGCCGAAATTTATGATGAAATTTGATTTTAAAAAAACATTTTTTTACTGGATCCGTTTTGTAACAAAAAGTAAAAAATATTTTTTTTTTTTCAAAATTGTCGGTCTTTTTTTGTTTATAGCACAAAAAATAAAAAAACACACAGGTGATCAAATACCACCAAAAGGAAAGCGGTATTTGTGGGAAAAAAGGACACACATTTCATTTGGGTGCAGTGTTGCATGACTGTGCAATTGTCAGTTAAAGTAACGCAGCGCCGGACCGCAAAAAAAAATGGCCTGGTCAGGAAGGGGGGTAAATTCTCTGGAGGGCAAGTGGTTAAAGTTTACCTTCAAACCACCCTTGGCCCCTCTAGAGACGGCCCCAGCATCATTTTTTTTTTCTGTAGGAGTAAATTTTAAATGTGCATCCAAACCTCCCTTTCCTCTGAAGTCTGATCCTCATTCGGATCACACTTCAGAGGCTACTGACAGGTGGTAAGGGAGTGATGTGATTCCTCCCCCCATTTTTGTCATCAAACGTGGTTGTGGAGCGATTGTGGTGCTTCCCTATTTGCTTGGATGTGTTGCGTTTTGCAGGGTTGCCGCCCACCATTTGCTACGTCTGGCGCAAATATAGCTTAATGACCACGGCAAGCAAGCATATTGCAGCTGGGGGGGGGGGGGCAGTTGACGGGCGACAAAAACAAGGCTCATCTGTGCATTTTTGCCCCCCCCCCTTCTCCTGACTGAGCATCTAAACGAAGCCTAAGGGGTCGGTACATGGCTGTTTTGGACCACGTAACACAGAATATGGCTGTTTTTTTTTTGGCCCCTGAGAGCCACAAATCTGTGTCCAGGGCTGTACCTCTGTGTACAAAGCTGCGTATACCTGTGTCCTGGAATTCATCTGTACAGGTAGCTATAGGCAGTATCTGTGGCCCCCAGATGCTGGAATATGGCCATATTTTTCATTATATTCCCCAATACACCCGATGGCCCTGGTTGGCCACTCAGCATGGGGGCCATTCTGAGAATGTTTTGCATTTTTTTTTTATTATATTTTTATTGTTCTAAAATACATTTCACATATACAGTCACATAACGAACACATCAACTAATCTTCATAACAAATTTTATTTGTTAAATAACCTTCCATCCCCCCCCCACCTTTATTCACCCATCCATTCTCTTCTTTATTCATTTACTGAATGAATGCAAAGCGTTTTCTGATTGGATGAGGTGGAGAGAGTGACATCACTGTAGCGCCTCCCCCTACCTCGTCCAATCAGAAAATGCTTTGCATTCATTCAGAAAATGCAAAGTAATCAATGCAACTATGTATAAAGTATCCATACCTGGAGTTCTGCAAAAAAAAAAAAAAAATCTTCTATGTATCAAACAGAATGAAATGTCTATGGATTGGGGGGGGGGCACAGATTTGCTCTTTACACCTACAGGCCCTGTATTCTGGTTATTCTGGCTGACTCTCATATTACTACAAAAATCTACCAGACAGGGTCTGTTTGTTAACCACAGGGGCGGACTGACAACTCATGTGGCCCCCGGGCAATAGGGGATCATGGGGCCCCTGTGTCCTTGCCCAAACTCAAAAAAGCCTATGAAAAAGGTACCAGGGGCATGTCATGGGGTCCCCTACTGACCCCGGGCCCTCGGGCAATGCCCGAGTTTCCAAATGGTCAGTCCGCCCCTGGTTAACCATATACATGCATGTCAAACTGGTGTCTTTTATTGCCACATGGGCCCTCTCACTCCTTTTTGTGATTCCTCGTAGTTTAAGGATTTAATGGCCCCCTCTCTCTGCAAAAAAATGTTGCAAGTTCCAAGAATATCAACTACCAAAGTGCTATCACCTTTTTCCTAAAATAAGTAGGTATGGCCGTTCGTAGACATAATGTGGTCCAGCCCATTGACATGCCTGCAATTGCCCCTCTGCATTCTCCAAAGATGTGAAATACCCACAATGCTCTTGGAAGCCTGGTGCCTAGCCTTTAGGTCATATGAACTCGGGAATTTTTTTTTTTTTCTTTTCTTTCTGGGCTAAAATTTTTTTTTTTTTTTTTTTTTTTTTTTTTTTGGTATCTGCAGTAACCATTTAATGTTTTTATAAAAAGTTGTGCATTTAAAAAACAATCAGTGAGCTCCAGTCAAGTGACTTTGCATAGGCAGAGATGATGGCAGCAGTCTGTTGCTGGCAGGTGGAAGCATGTCCTCAGTCTCCTCTCCTCCAGCAATCGGACTGAAATTATGTAACTTTGATACCTGAAACAAAAATGGCTCGGGGGGGGGGGGGGGGGTGGGTGGGAGGTGAAAGAAGACATTGTGGGGGGAGTACTGTGAACTCTGTGAATTAATAAATACCTGGAAGTGTTCCACATTACATAGCCTGCATGAGAAAACATGGTAGGTTCGTTTTAAGGACTGCCTGATAACGAGCATCATACATTGTAAGTCCACTTTAGACATTATGTGAGTCGTAGGTCCACTTTTAGACCTTACCGGAGTGGTCCATTTTAAATGTTACAAGAGTGGTAGGTCCACTTTAAATGTTACAAGAGTGGTAGGTCCACTTTAAATGTTACAAGAGTGGTAGGTCCACTTTAAATGTTACAAGAGTGGTAGGTCCACTTTGGAATTTACAAGAGTGGTAGGTCCACTTTAAATGTTACAAGAGTGGTAGGTCCACTTTAAATGTTACAAGAGTGGTAGGTCCACTTTGGACGTTAGCGGAGTGGTAGGTCCACTTTGGACGTTAGCGGAGTGGTAGGTCCACTTTGGACGTTAGCGGAGTGGTAGGTCCACTTTGGACGTTAGCGGAGTGGTAGGCCCACTTTGGACGCTACAAGAGCGGCGGGCCCACTTTGGACGCTACAAGAGCGGCGGGCCCACTTTGGACGCTACAAGAGCGGCGGGCCCACTTTGGACGCTACAAGAGCGGCGGGCCCACTTTGGACGCAAGAGCGGCGGGCCCACTTTGGACGCTACAAGAGCTGTAGGTCCACTTTGGACGCTACAAGAGCGGCGGGGTCCACTTTGGACGTTAGCGGCGGGCCCCACTTTGGAGTGGCGGCGGCCCACTTTGGACGCTACAAGAGCGGCGGGCCCACTTTGGACGCTACAAGAGCGGCGGGCCCACTTTGGACGCTACAAGAGCGGCGGGCCCACTTTGGACGCTACAAGAGCGGCGGGCCCACTTTGGACGCTACAAGAGCGGCGGGCCCACTTTGGACGCTACAAGAGCGGCGGGCCCACTTTGGACGCTACAAGAGCGGCGGGCCCACTTTGGACGCTACAAGAGCGGCGGGCCCACTTTGGACGCTACAAGAGCGGCGGGCCCACTTTGGATGCTACAAGAGCGGCAGGGCCCACTTTGGACGCTACAAGAGTGGCATAAACAAAAGAACAATAAAAAAGAATGTGTCCCTCTAAACAGACATGGACCTTTGCACTGCAGATTGGTTCAGGTTATACAATCTGGCAACATTTTGTTCAAACTATAAAACTTCAGAATTGGTTGCATCACTTCATGCCACATGGCCAAGAATGATTTCCATCACCAGACAGAATGTGAAGGAAGAGCCCCAAGCATAATGATCCCGTCAGTGTGACTTAGAGCAAACTTGTCAGCTACAGAATTCTTCTTCAGACCACAGCACACGTCGGTGTTGGTGCTGTTTTAATGGCTTAGAACATTTCTCTTTCAGCCCAACTACACTTTTTTTTTTTTTTTTTTTATTTTAATTCAAATAAAAATGTAAAAAAATTTTAAGCAAGCCTTTGATGGAGTGTAGCTTACCACCTGCAGACTCCATGCTGAGGTCCAGTGTCAGTCCTCTTCGTGGGTGAATGACGCCCAGTATTGTTCAGTCCATGCCTAGTGAGCCCAGGGCATCAAGGACTTGCCCCCTCTAGGGGTTCATTATTAACTGGCCCTGGGCTCACAGGACAATGCAACATGTGAATGCTTTGTGCGGTTGTGCACTGTATTGTTATACATAGGACAATTGTATTGAGGCGTGTTGAGTCTATTCAAAAGAATACGCTGCCGAAACACGACTCAACCCACAAAAAATGTGCATAATGCGTATGTGTTAATACAACGCATATGTTGCATGGGCCAGATCCCTATGGAGACCCATGATGCTCCTTATTATTCACATGTTTGAGTTCACATTTACTGCATGTTCACCACCTTGCAAACAAACCTCACCTGAAAAGATAGTTGAGATTTTTTTTTTAAGTGATAATTATTGCATTTTCAAGTAACAGACAGAGAAGGAGGCATATAAGTATGGGCCACCAGCACTGCTCAATAAAATGTATATGAGAATTTTTGATTATTATTACATAGTTGTCAACTGTCCAGATTTGCCCGGGACAGTCACGGATTTTCAAAAGCTGTCCTGGCACAATTTTATATTTATTACTATTATTATTAAATGCCCAGATATGTTTAGATCCAGTTTAACAGCACACAAATTATTTTCAAATAATGAGAATTTATTTACATTTATTTAAGGAGAATTTGCATATTCACCACCCTGCAAATCAAAGCTTCAGCCCTATGCCTCCCAGCCAGAAAACTACAAACCTTGCTGAAAATATAATGGTGAAATGTGGTCAGAGTTGAGATTTTTTTTTTTTTTTTTGGCAGCAGTGGATTTTTAAGTAATAGACAAAAAAGTGGGTAAATGACATGGGCCATCAACACCGCTCAAAAAATTGTATGCATTTTTATTTTATTACTAAATCTAATTAAGAAATAGCTCCTTGCGTTCACTGCCAAAATGGTCAGGGTTGATTTTTATTTATTTTTTTACAAAATAGATTTTTAATAAATTATTAAGCAACAAAGAAGTGGGTTAATGAGTTTGGGCCACCAACACCAACCTGCAAATTAATTTAAATTAAAATGCCGATATTTTTCATCAGTTAACAGCATTTAAATTATTTTGAATGATGAGATTTTTATTGTATTTTCAAGTAACAGACAGAAGCTACCAACACTGCTCAAAACATTGTATGAGAATTGTTTTTATTTTGAAAATTCCCTGATATGTTTATAAATAGATTTTTAATAAATATTTAAGCAACAAAGAAGTGGGTTAATGAGTTTGGGCCACCAACACCATTAAAAAAACAAAAAAACTGCAAATTAATTTAAATTAAAATGCCTTAATATTTTTTCATCAGTTAACAGCATTTAAATTATTTTGAATGATGAGATTTTTTTACTGTATTTTCAAGTAACAGACAGAAACTACCAACGCTGCTCAAAACATTGTATGAGATTTTTTTTTTTTATTTTGAAAATTCCCTGATATGTTTATAAATTAACAACATACAAATGATTTCAAATATTGTTAATTTCTGTAGACACTCCTTACCACTCAACTATTTGAGTCCACATTTACTGAATAGTGAAATAACATATAAGTGGGAACCAGGGGCGGACTGACAACTCATGGGGCCCCCGGGCAATAGGGGATCATGGGGCCCCTGTGTCTTTCCTCAAACTCAAAAAAGCCTATGAAAAATGTACCAGGGGCATCTCATGGGGCCCCCTACTGCTCCCGAGCCCTCGGGAAGTGCCCGAGTTTCCAAATGGTCAGTCCGCCCCTGGTGGGAACAGCACCAAATAAAAATACAATTAAAATCCAAAAATCAAGCTGCTAAACCTCACCCTCTCCTAGAGGCAATAACAAAAATCAAAAGAAATAGTAGCGCTAATTTAAACAAACATATTTTTGTGATAGTGATAAATAAACCAATAAAATACTGCAAATATTCATAAAATTGTTTTTTCATTTTCTTTTTTTTTTTGCCTGTACTTTCGTGGAAATCTAAATTCGCAGCAAACTCAATTTCTTAAAAATCGCTTCGCTCATCCCCCCCAGCCTTCAACATTACACACCAAGTCTGGTAGCTTCCAGCTGTACCATGTCCAGATAAATGTGAACCTTCACAGATATGTATTCAGCCACGGCACCTCCTGCCTGGAGTTTGCATGTTCTCCCTGTGCCTGTGTGGGTTTCCTCCGGGTACTCCAGTTTCCTCCCACACTCCAAAGACATGCTGGTAGGTTAATTGGCTCCTGTCTAAATTGTCCCTAGTATGTGTATGTATGAATGTGAGTTAGGGACCTTGGATTGTACACCCCTTGAGGGTTAGGGACTGATGTGAATGTACAATATATATGTAAAGTGCTGTGTAAATTGACGGTGCTATATAAGTACCTGAAATAAATAAATAAATAATTCACTTTTTTTTTTTTTTTTTACTCTGAATTCTTTTTGCAGACAGTTGCTGAAGAGCGAGCTGGGCTCATTTATCACAGACTATTTTCAGGTAAGCGATGGAACTGCTTAGGGTAACTAAAATTTCGAGTAGAGACCTGCCGGGTTTTCACCTTGTAATCTTCCAGGACGAGCCGTGGCCTCGATGTCTCAGCCTACGGTTTGGTGATTATGAATCAGACGGCGTTAACAGTAACAGGGCTCTCATTTGTGGTCGCTGATTTCTGCATCTGGGTTTTGTTTTTACTGTACGTGTCTCTTCCAAGGCTGCATTCTCTCCCCTGTGCGTTTCATAACTTGTACGGTGTGCTGTAAATAATGATGCTCGCTCAGCGGTTTGGGGGTTTTTTTTTTGTTGTTTTGGAAGCAATTTTTTGCTATTTTTAAAATGTTTCTTTTGGTGATGCTTATATACAGTTGTGTTCACAATAATAGCAGTCAGACATCACTAACCGGATCAATCACTGTTTTTGGTAGAAATGATATTTCTAGATGGCAAATAATTTCCTAGCAGGTCTAGTAGAGTAATAGAAATCCAACAGACCCAACAGTCATGACATGCATGCTGCTGATTCTGTGTCATTGAATCACTCATTGAAAGGGGCATGTTCAAAATAATAGCAGTGTGGAGTTCTATTAGTGAGGTCATTCATTCTTTGAAAAACAGGTGGCAATTATTGCCCTTATTTAAGGAAGGAAGGCAGCAAATGTTGTACATGCTGGTTACAGTGCATTTCTCTCTGAAATTCTGAGGAAAATGGGTCGTTCCAGACATTGCTCAGAAGAACAGCGTACCTTGATTAAAAAGTTGATTGGAGAGGGGAAAACATATAAAGAAGTGCAGAAAATGATCGGCTGCTCAGCTAAAATGATCGCAAATACTTTAAAATGGCAACCAAAACCTGAAAGACGTGTAAGAAAGCGAAAAACTACCATTCGTATGGATAGAAGAATAGCCAAAATGGCAAGGACTCAGCCAACAATCAGCTCCAGGAAGATGAAAGAAGGTGTAAAGTTCCCTGTGAGGACTGTTACAATTAGAAGACGCCTATGTGAAGCCAAGCTATCTGCAAGAAGCCCCCGCAAAGTCCCAGTGTTGGAAAAAGACATGTGCTGAAGAGGTTACAATTTGCCAAAGAGCACATTGACTGGCCTAAAGAGAAATGGCGCAACATTTTGTGGACTGATGAAAGTAAGATTGTTCTTTTTGGGTCTAGTGGCCGGAGACAGTTTGTCAGACGACCCCCAAACACTGAATTCAAGCCACAGTACACTGTGAAGACAGTGAAGCATGGTGGTGCAAGCATCATGATATGGGGATGTTTCTCATACTACTGTGTTGGGCCTATTTATCGCATACCAGGGATCATGGATCAGTTTGAATACATCAGAATACTTGAAGAGGTCATGCTGCCTTATGCTGAAGAGGAAATGCCCTTGAAATGGGTGTTCCAACAGGACAACGACCCCAAACACACCAGTAAACGTGCAACATCTTGGTTCCAGACCAACAAGATTGACGTTATGGAGTGGCCAGCCCAATCCCCGGATCTTAATCCAATAGAAAACTTGTGGGGTGACATCAAAAATGCAGTTTCTGAGGCAAAACCAAGAAATAGAGAAGAACTGTGGAATGTAGTCCAATCATCCTGGGCTGGAATACCTGATCACAGGGGCCAGAAGTTGGGTGACTCCATACAACACAGATGTACAGCAGTTCTCAGAAACAGTGCGACTACAACCAAATATTCATTAAGTGATTCAAAGGAAAGCAAAATCTTCAAACATTTTTCAGTTTATATAGTGAATGTTTGAGTTTGTAAAGAAGAATACAAACACTGCTATTTTTTTGAACCGTCTAATATTCACTTTTTTTAAATTTGTTTTAGAGCAACAACACAAATTTGATCTATTTTACTTCATGTTTTGATTTGGAATAGAACGTGTCGTGTTCCCAATGCATTTGTGTGTATGGAAATAAAAGCTATTAGAAGAATTTTGAGATTTATTCACTTTTTTCAACACACTGCTATTATTTTGAACACAACAGTACATGTTTGTTACAATTCGAGACGTATTTATGTTTTCAACCAACTACTATCTGGGGTAATATTGACATTTTTCATGTACATGTTAACCCCTTTGCACCAGTGCCTCCCGGCCCTTTAAAAGGTTTCAGAAGCTGGGAGGCGGGGCGGGGTTTTGGGGTCATGTGACCGCCATGATTCGCTGTCACATGATTGGAAAAGGTCCCAATCGCAAAGGGGAGATTGGACCTTTCCGTGAGTCATGGACATATGTGCTGGGAGAATGCAGGGCGCGCGCTCTCAGCACATATGTATTTTCAATTGGTACGCAAATATGCGGCCGCTTGGCGTCAAGGCACAGGCGCTGAGAGGTCGCATATTTGTGTGTGCTCACCATCTAGGGGTTAAAATCTGCATTTTTTTTTTTTTTTTTTTACAGCCTGAAAACCTTTTTTTTTTTTTTTCTGAAAGCAGAGTCCCTGGACAATAAAATGGTGGCTGTTGCAATTTTTTTTATGTCACAAGATATTTGCGCAGCCATTTATTAAATGCTAATTTTCAAGAAAATATATGCTACAATGAATTTTTGTGCACACAAGAGCATACCCAGTTTTTGATAAAATATAAAACATAAAGCTTGTGTAGCATTGAGTAAATAGATACCAAACATGTCAAGATTTAAAATAAAATGTATTTATTTACAAACTACAGTGACTAAAATTGTCCATAGGTGACATTTTAAAAGTCTGTACAGGTTACCGATTTAGAGCTGATCATGCATTACGGCCCTAGAATTATTGCTCTCAATCCAATATTTGCAAACATACCTCATATATGGTGCAATCGCTGTTTATATATGCATATTGGACCTATTTGTACATTTGCATTTATGGACCAGGAGGACAGAAGTGCTTTTTTTTTTTTTATAACCTTTTTTTTTTTTTTTTTTTTATAACTTTATTGCTCTCACAAGGGGGATAACAAGCCCCCTGTGAGAGGTCCTCTTTATGGAGATATCAGGGGTCTATGATTCCCCAGTGTCTCCTCTAGAACAGCACAGATTGTGGTTGGCTAGCTGCTTCCCTGGCTATAACAGCCAGGGAAAGACCGCTCTGAAACTGGAAGTGGTGAAATCTCTGTCACTTCCGGGTTCACTAGTCACAGAGGAGATCGGGGAACGGATAAAATGTTTTTGTCTGTGTGAAGCTATTCTGCCAGCTTACTGTGGTCCTGGGTTCCTCAGAGGAAAGGGAGAGTCGCCCTCCTCTTGCTGCAGGTGCAGCAAGAGGAGGGCAGTTCTTCACAGTGCTGTAAAAGTGATCAGGTGGCTATAAAGCTGCCTGGATCACTTTTACAAGACAACTGATTGAGGGGCGGCATGTTTTTTTTTGTTTTTTTTTTACCGTGACATTCATTTTCAAGCAGTCTCAACTGTGCCTTATTACAGGTTGGGCCAATTCACACTTAGCTGGTGTGGCAATGCCAGCGGAAATGCAACACACCTATGTGCGGTGCCATGTACTGTGAATGGCACCCCAATGCATTATGCAGTACAGCCCAACACACCACAGCACGTCACAATGCACATACAGTCAGGTCCATAAATATTGGGACATTGACACAATTCTAACATTTTTGGCTCTATACACCACCACAATGGATTTGAAATGAAACGAACAAGATGTGCTTTAACTGCAGACTGTCAGCTTTAATTTGAGGGTATTTACATCCAAATCAGGTGAACGGTGTAGGAATTACAACAGTTTGCATATGTGCCTCCCACTTGTTAAGGGACCAAAAGTAATGGGACAGTTGGCTTCTCAGCTGTTCCATGGCCAGGTGTGTGTTATTCCCTCATTATCCCAATTACAATGAGCAGATAAAGGTCCAGAGTTCATTTCAAGGGTGCTATTTGCATTTGGAATCTGTTCCTGTCAACTCTCAAGATGAGATCCAAAGAGCTGTCACTATCAGTGAAGCAAGCCATCATTAGGCTGAAAAAACAAAACAAACCCATCAGAGAGATAGCAAAAACATTAGGCGTGGCCAAAACAACTGTTTGGAACATTCTTAAAAAGAAGGAACGCACCGGTGAGCTCAGCAACCCCAAAAGACCTGGAAGACCACGGAAAACAACTGTGGTGGATGAGCGAAGAATTCTTTCCCTGGTGAAGAAAACACCCTTCACAACAGTTGGCCAGATCAAGAACACTCTCCAGGAGGTAGGTGTATGTGTGTCAAAGTCAACAATCAACAGAAGACTTCACCAGAGTGAATACAGAGGGTTCACCACAAGATGGAAACCATTGGTGAGCCTCAAAAACAGGAAGGCCAGATTAGAATTTACCAAACGACATCTAAAAAAGCCTTCACAGTTCTGGAACAACATCCTATGGACAGATGAGACCAAGATCAACTTGTACCAGAGTGATGGGAAGAGAAGAGTATGGAGAAGGAAAGGAACTGCTCATGATCCTAAGCATACCACCTCATCAGTGAAGCATGGTGGTGGTAGTGTCATGGCGTGGGCATGTATGGCTGCCAATGGAACAGGTTCTCTTGTATTTATTGATGATGTGACTGCTGACAAAAGCAGCAGGATGAATTCTGAAGTGTTTCGGGCAATATTATCTGCTCATATTCAGCCAAATGCTTCAGAACTCATTGGACGCCGCTTCACAGTGCAGATGGACAATGACCCAAAGCATACTGCAAAAGCAACCAAAGAGTTTTTTAAGGGAAATAAGTGGAATGTTATGCAATGGCCAAGTCAATCACCTTGACCTGAATCCGATTGAGCATGCATTTCACTTGCTGAAGACAAAACTGAAGGGAAAATGCCCCAAGAACAAGCAGGAACTGAAGACAGTTGCAGTAGAGGCCTGGCAGAGCATCACCAGGGATGAAACCCAGCGTCTGGTGATGTCTATGTGTTCCAGACTTCAGGCTGTAATTGACTGCAAAGGATTTGCAAGCAAGTATTAAAAAGTGAAAGTTTGATTTATGATTATTATTCTGTCCCATTACTTTTGGTCCCTTAACAAGTGGGAGGCACATATGCAAACTGTTGTAATTCCTACACCGTTCACCTGATTTGGATGTAAATACCCTCAAATTAAAGCTGACAGTCTGCAGTTAAAGTACATCTTGTTCGTTTCATTTCAAATCCATTTTGGTGGTGTATAGAGCCAAAAATGTTAGAATTGTGTTGATGTCCCAATATTTATGGACCTGACTGTACCATGCTGCATTTTTAAAAAGGGTTATGTACACCTTTTCATTTGTTGTATTGTGTTGGCAGCCCATTCAGCCCCCCCCTTCCCGCAACACAGCGGGTTATTGACAGCCTCAACTGTGCAGGTTTCCCTATGGGACTGTGTAGAGGGGGGGGGGTGTCCATTCTCTTCACTCAGGTCTCAGATTACACTTCACTTCCTGCTCTGTGCTGTGAGGTATGACATCGGCTCCCATCCCTTTGCTTTCTGAAGCTCAGAAATGCTGTGTAAATTATGGTTTTTGAGGGTATGTAGAGGAGGGATGATTTGCTTCATCTCTGTGAACCCTTACATATACCCAGTGAAGTAGCATCAGGTGATAGACAATCATTTTAAACATTTGTAAGGCCATTTCTTTGAATGCTTGATGTAGAGGTAGAGTATCTGTGCCCATGCCTGTCTAACACTCCATTGAGGCTTGAAACCTTCTACTGGCATGGAAATGGTGATGGCCAATGCAATGTGTCCCAATGAAGTTCAACTCCACTACAGAAATAATGTGTACTTGGCCCTCGTTCTCAGTACGCACGGTTGGACCAAAGGTTGGTGGCACTTAGCAGGTATTAGAAATGCCCACCAAGTGGCCCCTTTTTTTGAAGTTTGTGTAGCTTGTCCTTGCTGTATAAATGTACTGTATACACTGGACTCTGTTATGAATGACAAACTGTCTGTTGTGTCTACAGAATCAGCTGCTCTCTAAGGGTCTGGCCTTCATGGAGGAGAAAGTCAAGCTGTATGAAGGTGAGACGTAACAAAAGTGTGCTGAGCTATGTGTGAAAGGAAACCTAAAATGCGAGGACTGTACCAAAACGTTATTACCTTACGTGGGTCGTTCAAGTTCCACATGTTGGTAGAGTAGCTTTTCCTCTATAGTAACTCTTCTTCTTCATTACAAATATATAATGGATTTCAAGCAGAAGCAACTTGCCATCACTGAGTTCTTGACAAAGGAGGGGTGCAGGGTGTCCGACATCCACAGGAGGCTGCAGAATGTTTCCAGCAGTGACACCATAGACCAGATCAATGCCTTGTCATTGGTGACTATTCTCCATGGTGTCATCTCCATAAATATTCTGTAGCCTTCTATGGATGTTGGACGATGCAAGTGCCAAGACCCTCATGAGCTGATGTGATGTACGTTTATGATGCATTGTCATTTATTAGAAAGTACAAGTAGATTGATGTGGAAAGGATAGTTTACTACACAGTTGACTTTCTTTTCAGTGTAGCACTACCCCCTTAGGAGTCACTGAAGATTTGGGTCCCCCTATTGTCCTGCACAGCCAGCCAACATACATTTTTCACAGACTGTGAACAGTCCTTTTAACTTTTTTTTTTTTTGGATTTTATTAGGCGTAAATAACTTGGATGGAGTTGAGGGATGCATGGGTTGCCCAAGGAACTGTAAACTGAGGACAACTTCCTGGCAACTATATACAAGTCTTTACGCAGCAGAAATCTTCAAGGAGAGATCTAATGCCTCTCCTGGTGTACCACCCCAAACCCCAGATAGTCCTTCTTTATCCAGCAATCTGAGGGCTTTCCCTGGACAAAGTGATCCTGTATCTGCCACCTTAAGAGCACTGTCCAGCTGGAGCTAGTCAAGTTTCCCACCCAGATGCCCTCTCCCTTTTCTCTGGTCCAGGGGGTGTAGAAGTACACACTGTTCCTCTCCTGCAAGCTGTCGGTTGGTAGCTGTCTTCAGGCCTTCTGCTGGGCTGGCTCCTTCCTTTGGTCCTCTCTCAGGGGGCTGGTGAGGTTCAGTTTTCCTCCTGTCCAGATCCCACCTGGAGGCATACCCCTTCCCACTGGGCCTCATCCCAGGCTCCACACTCGCCTCCTGCTCTCACATTTTCCTCCCGAACTCTCCTGCCCTTGAGCAGGCTCAATCACACTTAAAGGCCACTCTGGCCTCATGCCAAGCCTCCTGCTTGGGGAATTGGCCAGAGTCCTCTAAGTGTGCAGGTAAGCCCCTCCTCATCCCCACCCACTGCTTCTAGAATCTTCTCCAAGATTCTAGAGTGGGAGATGTATCAGATAACTGACCTGCAGAGCCTCTCGGCCCTGACCCAAATGTGACACTGCTGGCTATTTCCCAGGGCTGCTGCTCAGCCTATCTAAAAATTAGCAACTAGCACCCCCTGGCTATCTAGAAGTAATACCAAACCTTATCAGTACCTTTTTGTATAAAGTTACTTCAGTCTAAAATGGCAATATCCAGACCGATAGGTGGTATAATAGAAGCTTGTGTTGACAGGCTTTGGTTTTGTTTTGGTGACATCCATTTGAGATGCTTCTAGTATCATTCAGAATCCATTGACAGGTGTATTTGACCTGCAATTGACCACCTTCTGACCTGCATTTAATCTTTGCTTTCCCCTAGACTCGTATGGAGATGTAAAACCTGCTTGAATTGAAAAAAGGTTTGCAACACTGGTCCTTAGGGCTTATCTCTACTGGTTGCAAACAATGAATTTTGGGGGCAATTTTTTACCCCTTGAAATGCCCAAAAGGTTTCTTGTACACCAAAATGCAAGGAAGAAATTGATAGGCACAATGCCCATGGAAGCAGCAGAAATTTGGCATTACAGTAAAATAAATTCAAGTTCATCATTAAAACTGCAGCATGGGACAACCTTACAGCTTCCTAACCCAAGGGCAGTCAAATGTTCGAAAAAAAAAGACATGTTCAAAGCCTTTGGAAGCATTAAATATATAACACCAATGATGACAATCCTAATCAGATATTAGTTGTAAATTCCTGTACAAGTGAAGGTCTTTCACCTAAACAAAGCCTCCTATATATTCCTTCCTAGGTGAAAACCGGGTCATGATATTAGCGGAGTTATGGGACCACTTCTTCATGGAAATCCTACCAACACTGCAAGCGATATTTTATCCTGTTCAGGTATTTTTAATTTTTTTAAATTTTACATAATTTAAATAATTGGGATGTGGTGCAGAGACAAACCTATGGAACGTGAGTGCATTTCTTATGTTTTAATGTGCAATAAAAGTTTTAAAGAGTAAAGTGAGTTGTTGTTTAATGAGGAACACGGCTGAGCCTGAGGCGGTTATGTGGAGGGAGCATCCTTTGGAGCTATTATTCAGCTATTTGATCTTCAGAGTCCACACAGTTGGGACCAAAACTGCAGTCAGACCAAAACATTGTATAATGTGAGGTCACACTGCTGGAGGTGAGCAGATATATGGTGGAGGATGTTCTGCACTGGAGTTCTGTGACATTTCAGTCTATCCTGAACTCTGCAGCCAGACTCATCCACCTTACTAACCGTTCCGTATCTGCCACCCCCCTCTGCCAATCCCTCCACTGGCTTCCGATTGCCCAACGTAAAATTCAAATTACTAACATTGACATACAAAGCTGTTCATAACACTGCCCCAAACTACATCACCGACCTGATATCCAAATACCACCCAAAACGCACTCTCTGCTCCTCACAAGACCTCCTTCTCTCTAGTTCCCTGGTCTCCACCTCCCATGCCCATCTCCAGGACTTCTCCAGGGCTTCCCCCATCCTCTGGAACTCACTACCCCAATCCATCAGACTGTCACCTACCCTCCTCACCTTTTAGGCGCACCCTAAAAACCCATCTCTTCAGGGAAGCCTACCCCGCCCTCACCTAATTGACAATCTGCTCCACTCTTCCTACTACTCCATCCCCCACAGCTATTCCTCCTGTACCACTATCCCCTCCCTCCTAGATTGTAAGTTCCAAGGAGCAGGGCCCTCGAACCCCTCGTGTATTGTATTGTTACTGTGCTGTCTCTTGTTCTGTCTCCCATTATAATGTACAGCGCGGAGCAAACTATGTGTATATATGTGTGTGTGTGTGTGTGTATATATGTATATATATATTTTTGTATTCACCATAGTAAGCACTTGAGTTTTTCACATTTTATTATGATTTTTTAGGCCAAGAAATGTTGATCCTGTTCAGGTATTCAGACATTTCCATTGGTAAAACATAAAACACTAAATACAAAAAAAGCAAAATTGTTCTATAAAACCAAATATGCATGATAAAATTCTTTATTAAGATCATAAAAAATAACATACAAAAGTTATAATCCCATAACAAAAAAAAAAACTATACTATTAGCATTAAAATATCACATTAAAATGCATTTTGTTGCATTGCTATTAGCTTGTATGGGCCTCCCAACACACATTTTTTTCCCCAGTATTTTAGTGACTAAAATTTTTAGTGACTAAAATACTGGAAAAAACTGGACGTGGATTTTTCAAAATGCCATCCACTGCTTCTGTGCATAGATGGGGAAAAAAAGACACAATTTTTAATATGGGAAAGTAGAACACATGCATTTTAAGGCCCTCATGTACACAGGACACTTCTGAACAATGGAAACTGACTGCTGGAAATTGTGCGTTTGAAATGCTGATAAAATCTCCTGAATGCAAGTTTTCTGCGTTCAAAAAAACGACTGTAAACTCAACTGCCTGTAAACGACTGTAAACGATGGTGTGTACACGGACACATAGGAAAACATTAGGGAGAGTTCAGGGGCTGCTGAAAAAAAAACGCTGAACAACTCCTGAATGTCATTTTATCAGCTGCAGTGTACATGAGCCTTAATACATTGCAATTAATGTGGAAGGACTCATGTACACTGCATCTGATAAACTCACGTTTAGTAGCTGTTCAGCGTTTTTTTTCAGCAGTCCCCTGAACTCTCCCTAATGTTTTCCTATGTGTCCGTGTACACATCGTTTACAGTCGTTTACAGGCAGTTGAGTTTACAGTCGTTTTTTTGAATGCAGAAAACTTGAGTTCAGCAGTAGATTTTATCAGCATTTCAAATGCAAAACGCTTGTAATCGTGGCTAAACGCAGCAAATCACATTTATAAGCATTTGCATTTGAATTTTTTTTTTCAACTCTTCCAGTTCCCAATGCTGTCCAGAGCATTTATTCATCATGAAAAATGCATGCAAAGTGTTTTCAAGGTACTCAGATGGACAAAACACTGAACACAGGATGTTCCTACCAAGCTTGTTACACATTGAAATGACCAATTCACACCTCAGACCTCTCCCACCCTTTTTGGGAACAAAAGAAATGTTAATGAGCAACTCACACCTAAGCTAATCTCAACACCTAGTGCTGTCTCTGCTTCTACTCTCTGTATTGCTCTAAAACAGTCTGACATAGTTAATAATTTACCACTTTTCAGTGCATTCTGGGCATTTGGGAGGTTCTCCTGTGCTTATCTTTAACCGTTTCAATACCGGGCAATTTTACACCTTCCTGCCCAGGCCATTTTTCAGGTTTCAGCGCTCTCACACTTTGAATTACAATTGTGCGGTCATACAACATTGTACCCACACTAAAATTTTATCATTTTCTTCACACAACTAGAGCTTTCTTTTGGTGGTATTTAATCATCGCTGGGGTTTTTATTTTTTGCTAAATTAACTAAAAAGACCGAAAATTTTGAAAAAAAAAAACCACCTTCTTTGTTTCTGTTATAAAAGTTTGCAAATAAATAATTGTTCTTCATAACTTTAGGCCGAGATGTATTCTGCTACATGTCTTTGGTGAAAATAACCCAAATTAGGATGTATTATTTAGTCTGTAGGAAAGTTATAGAGTTCACAAACTATGGTATAGATCTGAATATTGATCAATCCTGAAGTACTGACGGCCAATCTAATTTCTTGAGGTCCAAGAATGTCAGAACAGTACAGATATCCCCCAAATGTCAGAACAGTACAGATATCCCCCAAATGTCAGGACAGTACAGATATCCCCCAAATGACCCTTTTTTGTAAAGTAGACAGTCTGACGTACTTCATAAGAGGCAATGGCGAGTTTTTTGAAGTTGTATTTTTTTTGTCATAATTTTTCGAAAAATGAAAAAATAAAAAAAATTATTTTCACTATTTTTTTTTACATACTGTCACCAGTGCAGTACAGCATCATCATATAACTGGCATGGCGGTGATCAGGGACACTGACTGGTGACAGTGTGAAAAAAAATATATATATATTTTTTTAATTTTTTTTTAAATTTTTTTTTTATTTTAAATTTTTTATTAAATTTTTTTTCTTTTTTTTAAGATTTGTTTTTCATATTTCACTATGTCCAAAGTAGTACAATGTTACCATAGTAACATTGTACTACTTTGGGGAAGTGATCAGTATTTTTTTTTTTTTTTTTTTTTTACACAATTTGCTTATAGCAAAGAATGACTTTGCTATAAGCAAGCATTTACCTGAATGACATCGATTCATTCATGGTCTTTTTTTTTTTTTTTTTTTGTGCTTAGCTGTGATTTGGCCATTCACAGCTAGACACTAGTATACAATGGATGGCATGAATGAAGCCATCCATTGTATACAGCTGTCATGTGACCTGCTGTGATTGGTCACAGCAGGTCACATGATACCAGCAACGGGGGACGGTACTCAGATCTGTCATCGGCCGAGTCCGAGGTACACGACATGTGACAGATCGCGCCACTGCGCCGCTCTGCAGGAGTGCAATCTGCGCATGTGCGGGAGGACGCCATATGGTGGCCTCCCGGAAAGGTAATGCATTTTTGCGGACGCCATTTGGCCATAGGCCGGGCGTCTAATGGTTAAAAAAACGCACATAATCATGAATGCGCATAAAACGTGGTATGCAAACGTGGCTAAACAGACGTTTTTTAACCTACGTTTTCCAGCAGTCAGTTTCCATCGTTCAGAAGTGTCCCGTGTACATGGAGCCTTAATCTGCAACTGTAACTGGTCCCTTTAAGTAAGATAAATTCCTCCAATGGCGCATTAAACCCCCAAACCACTGAATGCAACAATTGCAGCCAGGAAATATAAAGATAAAATCAAGGTCTCATAGTAACACGGTTCTAGCACCGTTGTGTATATATAGCATGGAACTCCGGAATAGATGCGCTATCACAGAGCTGTGCTGGCTCAGCTGCTTGGCAGTCATTTTCTTGCGTTGCTGAATACAATGTCTTCTGGATTGTTACATTTTAAAGGATGCTCCAGCAGATGTCCATTGTGAGACGCTCTGAACTCAAACAAAGGCTCATTCTATGTTTCTGTTGTTTCTTGTTAAACAGTTTTTGATTGTTCCACTTGTATCAATCGGCTACATGTCACAAGAACATAGAGCTACGGTTGGCCATTGTTGAGAACATTGAACTATATCTCCCTTTTTTTATTTTTTTCAATTACTGCAGAGCAGCTGAGCCCAAAGAACCAATAGTGCTTCTATGGATTATTCCGCTGTTATAGCTGTGTTCTGATGAGACCTTGATTTTATCTTCTCCTGATGCCTCATTGTCCGTAGTACAGGAACTATAAAGGACTAGTTGGGATAAATGGCCAATACCAGTGCAGTGGCTAAGTGGTTAGCGCTTCCGCCTGACAGTACCAGGGTCGTCGGTTCGAATCCCAAGCATGGCACCACCTGCCTGGAGTTTGCATGATCTCCCTGTGCCTGTGTGGGTTTCCTCCTGGTGCACTGGTTTACTCCAACAATCCAAAGACATGCTGGTAGGTTAATTGGCTCCTTTCTAAATTGTCCCTAGTATGTGTATGTATGAATGTGAATTGGGGACTTTAGATTGTACACCCCCAGGAGCGGACTGACCATTTGGAAACTCGGGCACTGCCTGAGGGCCCGGGGTCAGTAGGGGGCCCCACGAGATGCTCCTGGTACCTTTTTCATAGGCTTTTTTTAGTTTGGGCAAGGACACAGGGGCCCCATGATGCCCTATTGCCCGGGTGCCCCATGAGATGTCAGTCTGCCCCTGCACACCCCTTGAAGGTCAGGGACGGATGTGAATGTACAATATTGCACAGTGGCTAAATGGTTAGCACTTCCACCTGGCAGTACTAGGGTCGTTGGTTCAAA